CCCGAGATTTTATGTCGTTTTGGAACGTCATATCTTCGCGCCGAGCTATTACCCTAAATATTAAAAAAGAAGATATGTCGTTTTGAAACGTCATATCTCCGCGCGGAGCTATTACCCGAGATATTATGTCGTTTTGGAACGTCATATCTTCGCGCAGAGCTATTAACCGAGATATTATGTCGTTTTGAAACGTCATATCTCCGCGCGGAGCTATTAACCGAGATATTATGTCGTTTTGAAACGTCATATCTCCGCGCGGAGCTATTACCCGAGATATTATGTCGTTTTGAAACGTCATATCTCCGCGCGGAGCTATTACCCGAGATATTATGTCGTTTTGAAACGTCATATCTCCGCGCGGAGCTATTAACCGAGATATTATGTCGTTTTGAAACGTCATATCTCCGCGCGGAGCTATTAACCGAGATATTATGTCGTTTTGAAACGTCATATCTCCGCGCGGAGCTATTACCCGAGATATTATGTCGTTTTGGAACGTCATATCTTACCGCCGAGCCATTACCCTAAATATTAAAAAAGATATTATGTCGTTTTGGAACATCATATCTTCGCGCGGAGCTATTACCCGAGATATTCTGTCGTTTTGAAACGTCATATCTCCGCGCGGAGCTATTACCCGAGCTATTATGTCGTTTTGGAACGTCATATCTCCGCGCGGAGCTATTACCCGAGATATTCTGTCGTTTTGAAACGTCATATCTCCGCGCGGAGCTATTACCCGAGATATTATGTCGTTTTGAAACGTCATATCTTCGCGCGGAGCTATTACCCCAAATATTAAAAAAGATATTATGTCGTTTTAGAACGTCATATCTCCGCGCGGAGCTATTACCCGAGATATTCTGTCGTTTTGAAACGTCATATCTCCGCGCGGAGCTATTACCCGAGCTATTATGTCGTTTTGGAACGTCATATCTCCGCGCGGAGCTATTACCCGAGATATTCTGTCGTTTTGAAACGTCATATCTCCGCGCGGAGCTATTACCCGAGATATTCTGTCGTTTTGAAACGTCATATCTCCGCGCGGAGCTATTACCCGAGATATTATGTCGTTTTGAAACGTCATATCTCCGCGCGGAGCTCTTACCCGAGATATTATGTCGTTTTGAAACGTCATATCTCCGCGCGGAGCTATTACCCGAGATATTATGTCGTTTTAGAACGTCATATCTCCGCGCGGAGCTATTACCCGAGATATTATGTCGTTTTGGAACGTCATATCTTCGCGCAGAGCTATTAACCGAGATATTATGTCGTTTTGAAACGTCATATCTCCGCGCGGAGCTATTAACCGAGATATTATGTCGTTTTGAAACGTCATATCTCCGCGCGGAGCTATTACCCGAGATATTCTGTCGTTTTGAAACGTCATATCTCCGCGCGGAGCTATTACCCGAGATATTCTGTCGTTTTGAAACGTCATATCTCCGCGCGGAGCTATTACCCGAGATATTCTGTCGTTTTGAAACGTCATATCTCCGCGCGGAGCTATTACCCGAGCTATTATGTCGTTTTGGAACGTCATATCTCCGCGCGGAGCTATTACCCGAGCTATTATGTCGTTTTGGAACGTCATATCTCCGCGCGGAGCTATTACCCGAGATATTCTGTCGTTTTGAAACGTCATATCTCCGCGCGGAGCTATTACCCGAGCTATTATGTCGTTTTGGAACATCATATCTTCGCGCGGAGCTATTACCCCAAATATTAAAAAAGATATTATGTCGTTTTAGAACGTCATATCTCCGCGCCGAGCTATTAACCGAGAATATAATAGAATATATATGCATTTGATGTTGGAAGAAGAGGGTTCAGGGTATCCCCTAGTCGGGAGCTCCCGACTAGAACCTCTTACTTGTTTTCTTTTCTTTTTGCTGCTGCCCTGCAATTGCGTTAAGAAATTTGAGAGTGGCTCACATGCTGCTGCTGTTACTCCTGCTGGTTTTGACTTAACGAGCATTTAATTGCCAGGTTTACCTTTGGTGTCACCCACACACAGGCACGCACACACACATACATAATCACACGCACACCCTGATTACCTGGACATTCCTTCCGGTTCACCCTTTTGTCCAACGAATTCACTTTTATTGTGCTGTGCGCATTTCTAGCTTCTTCTCCTACTTTCCTAAACGATTTCCTTTGCTTTCTTTTTCTAAATTTACTTTTTTTCGTCTACTCTTTGCGTTTATATGCGCTGTTTCATTCATAAATTACAGGGAATCCCTCATTCTCATTGTCCCTGCTGGGCAAAGTTCCAGGAAAGTGTCTGCCTTTACCTCTCCCTTCCTCCTTTTCTCTCTCTCTCTCTCCTTAGCTCCTGCTGCCTGTGTGTTGTCTAGTCTAGACTAGTTTTGGACTCTCGCTGTTTTCTTTCTATTGCTCCCTGATCTTGTGACCCAGCCGATGCCTCGCGGGAATTGCGCATAATTTGTGCATGTTAATTAGCTCATTTTCGGGCATAGATTAAGCAAATTAAGCAAATTAACTAAATGAGCAGCAAGAAAATAAATAAATTAAATGCTACACGAGGACAGCATCTCAGCAAGGGCACAAAGGGTATAAAGGGCCTAAAAGGGCTAAAGTATTCAGTAATGGCCATCTGGGTCGGGGGCACAAAGCACCATCAAATGTGTGAAATACCAAATTGTGAGCATCTACTTAAGAAGCATTTGGGGTTCAAGGCGTGGCTGTGAACTGTATGCATACTATATATATTGCTCATCAGCGTTAAAAGTCGTCTTAATCGCAGCCTGCTCCTTGTTGAACTCAGGGATTATACGACCTGCAGCTGACAAATTTGTTATGTGAGTTACGTTTGCCGAAAGCAGAAGGCATAACTTACAAGTTCGAAAAGTGTAGAAAAAATAGCTACAAAAGAAATGCATGTATAAATTGAACTTAAATGAAAACTGCCTTGCACTTTAATTCATAAATAAATAGCGTTTTTTTTTCTGGTTGTCTTTACTTGAAGAGATTGAATTGATGGCATTCCAGCTCTTGTGGCTATGCCATAAATCACCATCTTCACAACAGGCACTAAGTAATGCCACCCCTTCGCCTCCTATTCGGCTCCATATTCCCTGACAGCTCCTCGGCCCAGCAGCTAGCTGCTTCAGTTGTAACTTTTAATGCACTAAACAAGTGCCAAAAGTTGCGTCTTAAGTTTCGCATATTCGTAAATTGCGTTCATAGCACCGAAAACTATATCAGAATGTGTGTGCATGTGTATGCATGCGTGTGTGCATGCGTGTGTGTGTATGCCCTGCCCCGGTGTCTGACACAAGCACTTTTCAAGCTCAGCTAGCAAAAACATTTTCAGCCAGTTGCTCTGTGCGCTGGGGAGGCAGGGCGGCTTGTGGGGCTCTGGCTGAAGGACGTTGCATGCAACATGAAGTTGCACATGTGAATTGGCCGCTTCAAGCCATGCAACACTCCGGGGAATCACGCCAAAAGTGCTGATGCAGTGCCCTCCATCTGTCCGTCCGACGCCGCCAACTCGCCCCTTGCCCACGTCATTTTAAACAATTTGCGCACCCGAGGAGCAAATCCCGCTGAGTCGCCAAGTTTGCCATGGATTACAATTAAATTGTGCTTGATTATAATTGCAATTGTATTAGCCGTGATGCGGCAACGCTGCCACTCTGCGATGCTGCAACGATCTGGCACTTGACTTGCTTGGCAACTGTGCGCGTTAAGCTGGCTGCGCTAGGTTATTGCCTGAATTGATAATTGAAATTGAATTGCCTTTTTATACCCTGAACCCATTCAAAATGGGTATAAGAGTATATTGTATTTGGGCAAAATACAAATGTATATAACAGGCAGAAGGAAGCATCTTCATCTAATAAGGGCTAGAGTCACGAAAAACATGATATGTTGCTTCTAAAATATTATATATTTGTCAAGTATCTTTTATTTTATCTTTCATATAAATCAAGTTAATAACCCAACTTTTATTGCCAACCAATTTAAGCCAAAATTTAAATGCAATTGACCTTTTCGGTATACACAAATATTCTATAATACAATAAGATATACTGTAGAAAATTTCATAAAGATCGGTTAAAAAAAAACCCCAAAGTTATATGCAACTGCGCAATTGAATAGAGCAGCATCTTTAAGAATTTCTGTATACATGTACAAACACACATTCATGCGCGTTTGCTTCGCATTTTAACATCATAACGACTTTTTTCTGTAATGCTATTTAAGTTACTTTTTTATGGTGCTTAATTAAAAATATGGACCCAAATCGACAAAATGGCAAGGGGGTAATATCGAAACTTTTTCTTAGTTTTTTTTAATATCTCGGGTAATAGGTCCGCGCGGAGATATGTTGTTCAAACACGACATAACTCCGCGCCAAAATTAATCATTTCAAGGGCAACGCCACTATCCTTGAAAATTTAAAAAAAAAATCGTACTTTAAACACCTTAGTTAATCTAGAGTGGATTTCTGATAGTGTGGGGCTACACTTGGAAGAAGTATAGCTCCTTTAAGGTTATCTACTGACAGTTTCAGTTGGTTTGTTTATCCGAGTAGCTTGGCAAAATAAAAGGCTATCAAGGTTATTTAGGTATACATTTGGGAGTTGCTTTTGCAAACTCTGCAAACTCATTAGCCGACCACTGACAAGTCCGTTAGCTCTCATATCTGATAGTTATGTGTAGCTTTCCCTCGCTTATGTTCACAATCATGACAAAATCGTAGCCAAAGCATTCTTTGATGACAACTCATGACCAAGTTGGCCAAGTTTTGTTGTTCTTCAAGAAACTTTTTGGCATATTCATCTTGGCTGCTGGCCAAGGTAAACGGAATCAATGGCAGTCGCTTGGCAGTGGCCGAGTCAACATTTGCCACTTGCCGCTTTCTACTTGGCACTTGCCACATGCGAGTGCCGCACTCGAAAGTTTATCGTTTGTCTTTGCAACACATTTAACCCGCTCTTCCCCGTTGTTTTTATTGGTACTTGCAGTTGTTAAGCTGGGGGCACGCGCCGAGGAGGCCAGCACTTCGACTGGCATCTCTGAAGGTGAGTAGATGACGCATAGATGCCACGTGCCATATGCCACTTGAAACTTGCCAAATGCCACATGCCACAAGCGGCATGCGGCATGCGGCATGCCACTCGATTGATGAACTCAATTCGCAAACTAATTCACAGAATGGGGCTCCGGCTGGAAGGGCGGCACCAACTTTCTCGTAGAGGTCGAGGAAACAGCTGCCATGTCACCAAATACTGCACGTGGCAGCAGCAACACATCCGATGAATACATCGCCGAAATAACCAACAGCCAGGAGGAGGTGCCACCCGGGGCCACCGTTGCCACAAATGGCACAAAGCCCGAAACGGGTGAGTTGACCCAAAAAACCGAACTCAAATGGCATTAATCCCACTTAAGGCCATTAATTTATTAATCTGCATGCCCGACCGCATTTAAGCCGGGATAAAAATCGTATTGTTGGGGAAATTCGCGCATCTGATCGGTACGCGCCTAATGACTGGGATTAAAGGAAATGTTACGAGTGCATCTGACTTCAGAAATTAATTAACTTAACTAAGTTTGAAAAACATACAAAATGTAGGCGCGGCCACCTTAACTAGTGTAGCCAAAAGAGTAAGAGTTAAAGAGAGATGAGAAGAATTATGCTTAATTGTAGATAAAATACTAAGCGATGTTTTTGACGGCATTGCGACTGCATTTCCGATTTACAATCAACCGAATTCCGCACGAATATATGTCGCTTTCAAACACTAACAATTATGTCTGTGACATGCAGTTTATCCTCATGTTACTGATGCACAGCCAAGTTAACACACTTTGCAAATATCTAGTGTTGCCAGATGACTAGGGTAACAAATTCATGCACATCTGCTGCTGCCCGATTAATACGCTTGGTGCTGCCAGATCATAAAAAAAACTATGTATCACACACAAAACTATAATCCCACATCTAGCGCTGCCACACGTTATATAGACATTCACCCAGCGCTACCAGATCGCTTAGTGAACCCCCCAGCATACATCTAGCGCTGCCTGAATGCTAAATTAAGGGCTTAGCAGACAAAATTACAATTCGACACGCACTTGGCGCTGACAGATCCAAATCTAAATCTTCGCTTAACAAAGAGAAAGTCTCAAAAAAAAAAGTAATGCGATGTTATTGGATTTAGGAGAGTATCGTAAATGGCTCAGCACAAGCACGACTTTAAAACAAATCCGTGAAGATTTGTCGCTACACATGTATCCAGAATGCGCAGGATACGAGTAATTGAATGTTTATGGTCTTAACTGTAATCCAATTGGCTTGCCACGGCCAAAAGGGGGATGGGGCAGGTAGAAGGACAGCTACCAGCAACGGCGACAGAATGTGACAGCAGCCGCGTGATAATTGAATTCCAATCTGCGGCATCGTCTTGAGTTATTTATGCGCTTTACGTGCGCTGCGAGAAATTCAAAATCCCAACATACAGCAAAAGCATTTTACAATTTTCTCCCTTCTCGTTTGCCATTTCAGGTCCGAAGATCATAGTGCGCACCGAGGAAGTGCTCATTGTTGGGCTCGTGCTCATCCTGTGGGTGGGCGCCATCATGCTCTTCTTCAATCGCTGGGGCAAGATACGCATGTTGGAGCCCTATCAGCCCAAGTTCCAGCAACAGCATCGCAGCTCCTGTCCCCTGGTCGATATAGATGCGGTACCAACGCATCAGGTAAGATATGTTCGAAATCTATTTCGAACTCCAGATCTTCCCAGATAACCCCGAAAAGCTGTAAAGCATGCAAACGGGTTAAAAATGTCCAAGAATGTGTTATTAGACTTATAGGCGATTAATGTTAGTCAATCGGGGTGTTAATCCAATACTAAATAGTATTAAAAAAAATCGTTAGATAAAATACAAGTTGTCTTAAGTTTAGGCAAAAGGCTCTTCTGTCATAAGAAATATATTGAAAACATTTTGAGATCCGCATAAATTAAATTTGTTTTGCATAACCCTTGTATCTGCAAAAATGTCTAATAAAAATTTATTCAACTTTCTCAACTTACTTTTCGCATTTTTTCTCTCTCTTCTTTTTTGCAGCGCGCCTCCGTGTCCCGCATGTCGATGGGCATGGTACACAATCATAATCTGAATATGCCAACGTGTCAATTCGCGGCCTATAAACCGAGCCTCTATGCAAAGGGTAAGCATTGTCCTTGGCGTAACGCCGCAAGCTGCCCGCACTTTCCGCTGGTGCCGCATGTTGCATGCTGCACGTTATTCGTAGTTTTTTTCTTGTTCGCCTGCAGCGAAAAGAAAAAATTCGCGTAAAATGCAAATGCAAAATGCAATTAAAATCGAACAACATCTTCACACACACACACACGCCCGGCAACCACCTCTACATGTGTGTGTGTGTGTGTGTGTGTATGTTGTCAACTCGTGTCGCATGTTCTGTTGCCTACTTTCGAGCGCCGCCCCAAAGCGTTGCAAACTTTGCGCTGCAAATAAATTGCACTTGAAATTCGCGTTAATCCATTGAACTGACTTGCAAAAAGTTTTTGGTAAAACTTTTCGAAATTTTTGACCCAACAAACTTATTCTGAATTATCTATATGAGAAATAAACCAAATAAAGTAAAAAAATCTGTGAGAAGAAATTAAACGCATGCAAGAACTTATTATTCTTATATTTCTTATCACGTTCAAGTTATTTGAAGTAAATTTTTTATTTTGCACCGAAAATAATCTTTATATAAATTGAGCCAGCGAATGCCGGGTAATATACGTTGTGTGTACACATGCTCCTAAAGCTGCTTCCCTGAATAATTTGTAGAATCTTACTCAACCCAATGATCGAAAAGGGAAAATAAAGATAAGAAACGTTCAAGATAAGTGTTGAACACAGCGCCCCTTAACAAATCGCATGTGAGTCGCAATTAATTTTATGCAGTGTTGTAAAATGCTGCGAGCAATAACTTTAAAAACTTGTTTTTACAGCCACATATAAACTAACATACATACGTAAATTGTCTTAATCTTCAGTACTTACCTTTGATGCATATATTCCATTGCTAGCACACTTTTTGCCTTATATGTACCTCATTCATCATCAATTCAGATCCCTTTACAACACTGCATATCTTCTGCAGTAGCGTGTAAATATTAAAAATGGTTATTCAGAAATGTGCGATTGTTTATGACTTAACTTGATTCAGTTAATACATGTCATATTAGCAAGAACATATCAGTCGATTTAATGCAATGCTCTAGACGAACTCAAAGATCTTAGGGACCATAAGAACTAGAGTTACCGAATTTGTTATGCGAATTTCAAAATACCAAATGACAATACATTTCATTTAATACATGACATTTTCAGCCCAGATACTTGGCATGACAATAGTCAATAGTCAATAGCATATAGGTAATATATAGATTTTATTCGAGGCATATGCTTTGGATATGAAAATCAATTAAAATATTTTAAATTTGAGCAATTGGCTTATAAGCCAGACACAGGGTATCTGCAGGTCGAGCACTGTCAAGTGCAACCTTCTTAAGTAGTTTTTCGAATATAATAGTCTTGACTTTTATGCGAGACGAACATGTTTGAGCTTTACGCATTAGCGCCGCATACAGCATGCAGCCCGAGAGGGAGGGAGAGGAAATGGCGAGAGCGAGGCAGACAGAGAGAAAGAGAGAAAACGACAGACAGAGAAAGAGAACAAGGAAAGCGTTTATAAATATGCTTAATGCTCGCTAGTCGAGGCGTGTCTCGCTTTAAGTGCAGCATTTTTGTTCGACTTTTAATGAGTTGCCAGACAATTAAACTGCACAACAGGGTGGCCGAATGGGGGCTGCTTGCATGCGGCTAGGCCCCAAGGGGAAAGGGGGGGCGGTGTGGGTGGCGACAGGCGGCACCGAGGCGCAAGCGAAGCACATAACAATACAGTTTTAATGCCATTTCTTTGACTCAACTCTCGGCTCTCGTCTCTCGAGGATGCTGCGACTCCGATTCCGGCTCCGACAATGGCTATGCAATTAAATCTTGCGGAAACGCACGCACAACCACACAGATACGCACGCACACACACACACACACACACACGCGCTCATGGCAAAAGGCTGAGCGTAGCCGAGGGGAAAATGGCTTGTTGGGGGGTAATGGAAATGTTAATGGAAATGGATGCACGATTCGCTGGCAATAGTATATTAAGCTTGTTTTTCACAAATGAGTATGTCTTCCACAATGTGTGTGTGTGTGCGTATGTGTCAACACATGCTCAGCAATCGTGACTCCGTGTGTCCATCTGTCCGTCCTTGAAAAAGATGTGCTCGTTTCTCAGATAGACATACATATATATATATATATATATATAAATATATATATATATATATATATATATATATATATATATATATATATATATATATATATATATATATACCATATAATGGGGGCTTAGGAGGAAAGAAGCACAGAAGCAAATCTCGTGACTTCTTTCTTGTGAAGAAAAGCTGTATGTTGTATGAAACGATAACTTGGCACTGGACTTAGGGTAGCTTCCAGTTCGAATGTAATCTATTTCAAACTCTTCTCTAAATCTTATTATACCTTTTTCATTTCAGGCTACGCCTCGCATGTCTCGCACGTGGCTCGGCCGCGCCAGAATTCGGTATTTGTTGGAGCCAGTACGAGTCACTATTTGATGCCGCGGCCGCCGAGGAAGACTCGCTCCGCCATGGATCTGCACTCGATGGTGCTGGACGAGAGCGCCGAGCAGGTGTAGATGCCTAAAAGAGAGAGCGAGAGAGGGAGAGAGAGAGAGAGAGAGAGAGAGAGAGGGAGAGAGGGAGAGAGTGAGAGAGAGAGAGAGAGAGAGAGAGAGAGAGAGAGAGAGAGGACAAATGTTAAGGCTAATGTGAGCGTGTGTGAGTATGTGTATGTGTTTTGTGTTGGGGGCGTGTGTAAAAGAGGACAGCTAGATGTGTGTAGATCAAGGAATAGGTAAATAAGAATATGTGTCAATAGCGAGAAGAGCATAAAAGAGAAAAGAAGACATAGAAACAGTTGAAGTTACCCAATTGCAACAACTACTAAGTATTTACAACGTGTTCTTAAACTCATACTAAACGCGACACTCCTATCTCTCTCCCACTCAGTCTGTCTGTCTCTCTCTCTCTCTCTCTTTTTGCAACTTACTCTCCCATTTGTGCTTATTTTTTGCTGATGCAGCGTGGTTTTATTCATTTTCAATGCCAAAACAATTGACGCACTCTTCAGTGAAGTGTGTTAAAGCAAAGAGCTCTGTAGCTGCGATAACAAAGCTCGCTGCTATGCAACTGCATTGTAAACAGTTACCATGCATTTTGAGCTGATATCAAACATAAAAGCCATCAGCTTTTGTCTGCCGCGCTGCGTCCACGGCGCTTAAATCAAACCTAATTTATAGTATTATTATCTCGTAAAGCTATCGAATCTCTTTATATTTACCTTAATTCGTAACTGTCTCCCAAAGAACAACTCGCACACACCAGTTTATTTCGATATATCTATAAGAAAAATAATGAAATTAAGTGCTAAACATTTATGTCGATTGTTGTTTTGCAAAGGCTCAATATATCCCACATACGAGTACATATTTTGCTATATCCCAACTACAAGTATCTTTAACTATATCTATATTAACATATTCGAGCTGATTGTAATGTTCGTATAAGTTCCATTTAATAACTCACAAAATAAATACATATGCACCAAGTTTTCGCTTCTTGTTCAGTTAAACGAATATATGTTTCGAGCTAGACTAAAACCGAAACGAGAATCGAATTTTATTGGACAGAAACAGCGTGAATAGGATTGTAACGAATGATAACGAATGACGGCAGGACGGCAGAATGACGAACTGAATGACAGGAACGAATGAGAACGGTGATCTAACGAGTTGAACTAACGAGCACGGAACTGTAACGAATAGAATGAACGAGAACGAGACTAAAGGAAAATGAGTACAAATGTGTACACAAAAAAGAAACAAATGAAACGAAAAGTAGACTCAAATGAATCAAAGTAACTAAACAAAAAAAAAAAACAACGAATAAATGATTCGAGTTTCATAAAATTAAAAAAATAATTATACTCGTTTATTGAAATGCAGTAGGGAGCTCTTTGTATATAGCACGACTTAGTTGACTTAGAAGCCTGCCTATTAGCTATTTTTATTATCTGCCCTCTTTTGTGGCAAAGTCTTTTGCATTTCTAACGAGTCAATTGGCCTCCCTTTTTGCTCATTTGAATTCAACATAGTGTTTACTGCATCTAATATCCTAAAATATATATTTAAAAAAATGTAACTTAACTCTGGGCGGTTAGCCCAGCTGTCTTAATATTCTCGTTGTCTACTTACTTGACTTTTGCATAGATATTTTACTGTACCTAACCAACTATCTATCTATTATCTAGCTATCTATCTATATATCTAACTATTCATATACATATATCTATATCTGTTCTGAACTGCGCGTTAAGTATTGTAATTTGTAAGCACTGAGCTAACTTTTGACCAAGAACAACAACTACAACAAGAACTACAACCAAAGTATGACTAACGAAAGCTTTAAACAAATAAACAACCCATCCAACTAAATAAACTAATGTCACAGATATATATACATAACATATTTTAAGATTCGTATCTGTATGATGTAAAAACTCAACTAAAGTCTAGAGCAAACTATGCGGAACAACTATTTAAACCTAAACAACAACTGCAACTAAAGCTAAATCAAAAACCTAATGCAAGCTAAAAAACATCTCTGAATATAGAAATAATTCAGCTATTGGGCACATTGGAGCTGTATATTAATAGCTAAGCATATGTATTATATATATAAGTACTAAAGGGGTATTCCCTAGCTCTGAGTGAGCTTTATTCAATAACTGAGTGTTGAAAAGAGCACTAACATTTGTTTAAGCTAACAGAGTGGCAAAGCTAGACTTAATTTTTTTTTTTTGACAGTTAAATGTGGGCTTGCACAGGCTAACTTTGCCGAGCATAAAGGCTGCCTATGTGGCAGCCTCCTTGGAGCTTTGACAGTGTTGTATAACTAAAATAAAATGAAAATGTGGCAACGCCGTTGACATAAGTCTTCAGGCGATCTTGTGTGCCAGATTCAAGTTTCAGCAGTTTACTTGGGCTGCGGAATATCCCCACTAAAAATTTGTTGAAAAACGTGTTCCAAATTTAGAAAGGGTACCAAAAGGGGTTTTTTTTTTCTAAGCTACAAAAATGGCAAAACAAACACATAAATACTTATATATAAATTTAAAGTGCGAATATATGCATACATATATATATATATATATATTTGTCAAATTGTATTTTACAAACCAAAGGCAAAATCTTTTAATTACATATTTATACATATATATATGTATATATATATATATACATAAAGAAATACAGATGTATATGTGCGATTAGGCACGAGAACATTATATACATATATATATATACTATATTATACTCGTATACTACAAATATCAAAGCGAAATTATAAAAAACAACAATTATATACAATTAAATTCAAGAATTAAATTGAAACAATTATATTTGAAGCAAAATCAATTGAGTTTTATTCATTTTCGACTGCTTTAAGTGAAGGCAAATAATTATTTTTTATACCCTGAACCCATTAAAAATGGGTGTATTGTGCAAATACAAATGTATGTAACAGGCACAAGGAAGCATCTCCGACCCCATAAAGTATATATACTCTTGATCAGCATCAATAGCCATATCGATCTAGCCATGTCCGTCTGTCTGTCCGTCCGTCCGTCCGTATGTATGAACACACGGATCCCAGAACATATAAGAGCTATAGACATTATTTTAGATGTAGGTGCTCCCAGTGCCTGCGCAGATCGAGTTTGTTTCCGATAATCGATATCCTGTTACCCTGTTTTGGGCAATTTTGGTAAATAATAAGAGCTAGAGTCCCCAAACTGAACATATAGCATATAGGATATATATATGCATTTGATGTTGAAAGAAGAGGGTTCAGAGTATCCCCTAGTCGGGAGCTCCCGACTAGAACCTCTTACTTGTTTTAAGCATGGATTGTTACTATATCTTATCGCGATCTCTTTACAGCTTTGTTTTGGTCCTCGAACTTGTTTTATCACATCCATAAATCCACTGTCGAACTTTTCTATACATTATATGTACATAAATTCTATTCATTGAGACTACTTATTCTAATCGTAGATCTTTTCGGGTGGAAAACTTCTTATACATCTTAAAGCTCATGACTTAAACATCAGATGAAGTTTCCTGCTAAAGGATAAAACAAAGCTTAAGCATTTATTATTACGCAACGAGACTTTGACTCCGAATGAAGCCAGAGATCAGGCTGGCAGCTGATGCGGAAATTGATTTTTTGGGTCTCAAGTGAAAATTGTTTTTAACTAAGGAGAACCCAAAATTAATAGAATATACCGAATAGTAGACATTGATATTGGTTTTTCTATGCCTTTGCAGATGGCTTGGGTGGCCCTAAATAAAGTTGGTTTCTTTTACATAGACATATATTGTTAACTAGAACCACCTAAAAATATCTTCTCAAACATTTAACAGCCTTTTTTTGACTTTCACGAGGTTTGGTTTTTAAAGATCCTTGAGAGAATTTATTTTATACGTACCATTATTTTAAAGGATTATGCTGGAATTTAAGTGTTGATAGGAAAAAAACATTTAGAATTCGTTCTTGCTTTATTGCGTTTATTGACGCGCGGCGAAATCCAACCAAATGCCGCCTTCGAGGGATGTAACAATTCCAATTGGACTGAACTTGTTATCCTTGCGTGTCTTGGGATTGACCTTGACATCGAAATTGACAATAATCTCGACGAGAGCTGCCTTTATCTGGGCCAAAGCGAAGCGCATGCCTGTAGCCAGCCAAGGAGTGTGAGTATTGAATGAAATGGGAACAGGTCAATTGTGGCTTTACGTACCGATGCAGATGCGGGGACCATCGCCAAAGCCCATAAAGACGCCGCGATCGCGATACATTTTGACCGCATTGGGCTCCAGAAAGCGATCGGGCTGAAACTGATGGGCATTGGGAAAGTAATCCTCGTCCAGCATAAAACAGGCGTGGGGCACAAGGACGGTGGTGCCCTGCTCTATGGTAAAATTGGGTCCGTTCCGATTGGGCAGCTCGATGGGCTTAGTGCACAGCCTGTTGGAGACCGTAAGTGGAGGGAACAGTCGCAGGCTCTCTGGAATTGTAAGACCGAGTTATTGTGAGCGCAGCTGTACGTAATCCAATACATACCGTGAACACAGGCATCCAGAAAGGGCAGCTCGACCAGCTTATCGAATGCGACAAAGCCCTCATCGTTCAGTTCTGCCTGCAGCTCCTCGCGCAGTCGCTGCTGTGCCTCGGCATCCCGTCCCAGGAGCAGCAGCGTGTGGGCCAGCACAGAGGCCGTTGTCTCAAAGCCGTCCAGCAGGAAGGTCATCGAGTAGGCGGTTAGCTGTCGTGCGGGCAGGTTCCTCTTCTTGGCCAGCTGTAGAATGTAGTCCAGAAAGTCAACGCGATCGGATTGCGTTCCACGGCGCGCTCCGACCGCCGCCTGCATGAACTCCACGAAGAACTCCTCGACGTGCTTGGGTATAAAACGCAGCTTTATGATGTGACGCAGTGAGGGTATCACGGACACCGCCATGAAGCTCAGCAGCAGGGACAAGGGCTGTTCGAAGAGAGTCTTTATGTTCGCCAACACCGGCGTGGGATGTTCGCTGAAACTCTGGGCGCTCAGGCCAAGAACCGCATCGGTGACCATTTCGGTGGTGAAGCACAAGCTGAGCTGTTCGTAAAAACAGGGTTTAATGGACTTTCTGATATTTACACCATGTAGCACCCACATCCTTGCTGTTGACGCCGTCCGGCGATCCAATGCGGATCTGCTTGCGTATGAACTCGTTCATCCTTCTGCACACCTGGTTGGTCACAGGGTAAACCGCCTTGACCTAAATTGATTTAGTGCACGGCTTGCAGATAAGAAAGCATTTACAGAGTGCTCAGAAGGCTTACGCGACTTATGGTAAGACCGGGTGTTAGATCGGAGCGGCGCTCCTTCCAGCCCTCCCCGGTCATTGTGAAGATATTGTTGGCAAAGATGAAGTCGGACTTCTCGGTCACCAAGGCGCTTACCTCGTTGTCGTGGAAGTGCTTAAAGTCCGTAACGAATACACGATGTGCCAGCTCCGGGCTGACAATCAACAGCTGAGGGGAGCGGGACGCATAAATGCCGACAGCATCATATTGCTGCTTGTATTTGCTGCAGGTGGGAAAGGAAAGAGTCCTCTTCATTGACAGCAATCTCTTTGGGAAAAGCTATAGAATCGCGATAATTACCAATAGATCTCATTTAGATCCTTGATAAGATGTTGCTTCATTGTGAACATGTTGGGATAGTTGCCGGTAAGAAGCGCTGGCCGCGGACCAGGCACCTTCCGCCTGCGCCAATAGCCATAGTTCCAGACGAGGAACACATAGCCCAGAGACGCCAGCAGCACGATCAAAACTATTGTTACCAGAAACATTTTGTCCAGCACATGGAACTAGTTTGTAGCAGAGATTCCGTTTGCCGACTGTTGCTTGAATCGATACAAACGGCGCATTTATGCCTAGCCACAATCTGTAGCTGAGCTTATCTGCCACGTAGGTCAGTTCCCAGATAAGGCTCTAATAGTTGCTGCAACAGTCGGTTAGACTGTTGAAATCATGGCTCTGATAACGTTTATTGGCCAGTTAGAGCCTCAGATATACCCTTTCCATTTACAGCAGTTTACCATTCATCCATGCATCTGGCTTGGCATAGAGCATGCAAACGTTGCTGCGTACCTATATTATTTGATAATCGTGACGGTGCAACTGTCTTTAACTAAGTATTTCGCAAATCATTCTAAAGTATTGAAATTGAGTGTAAAGATTGTGTTGATTGTAAATAACATACACTTGATGGGGTCGGTGATGCTTCCTTCTCCGTGCCCCACACAATTCCAAACAAAGTTAACAAATATTC